GATATCTGCTGGTCGAGTATTCCCGCCTAGAGCACTCTCACTTCTAGTAGACTCATAGGAGTTGTAAGGCATTGGCACTCCATTAGATCTAACCCAAAGCAAATCTATATCTAAAGGAAAAGCCTTTAATATAGCCTAATTAGCGTGTAGCGAATTCGAATTGGCCAGCCTCTGATTCTACTCTCCTTTGCCTATCACCTCATGCAACTAAACGGCTGTGTGTTGCATAATTTGAAGCGTTTCGAATTAGTTGAGCTATCATCAGCTGCATCAGCGCGCTAGTCTCGTCCAGGCTGCAGGACGTGGCACGTGTATCATCTTTTACATTTTTAATTTGCGTTTGGAGAGGGGATGTGTGTGGGGCTGGGGCTGGGCAAAATGTTAATCATGATGAACCAGTTAGACACACACTGAGACAGAGGGAAATGAGCTGGAGCTGGGGCGGTGACTGACTGCGTGCGTGTGTGGATGGATGTGGGTGGGCGTGGCACGTGCTCTGCATCGTCATCTCTCATGTAAAATGCATGAAAAACAAACACGCGCGTCTTTTTTGCCTTACGCATAACAGTTCTTCCTCTTATGTATATGTATATACATTATCTTTTTTATATTTTGTTTTCATTTTTATGTGAGCCTAAGCCAAGCACCACACCCTACGCCCCTCTATCTTGTGTGCCATATGTCTGTCTCTTGTTGACAACTGTCTATTCAGCTCGTTGTCGTCCGGGGAGGGGATGGGATGTTGCGGGGGCACTACTTCTGGTTTGTTGTACTGCGCAAATTTGCATAGAGAAACGAATGAAAAACTCTCTCTCTCTGTCTCTTTTTTAAGTTTGCTACTCATCTGCTTTTCTTTGTCTTTTTGTTTTATGCTCCCTCTGAACTTCTTCCTTCTCACCTGTTTCTCCTTCTTTTCCGTTTCCTTCTTCTTCTCCTTCTCCTTCCTTCTCATTTTCCTTATCTTTCTTTTTATAATTTCTCACTCTCCTTGTGCTTTTCCTTTCTTCTTTTTCTCATTTTCCTACTCCTGATTCTTGTTCTTCTTCTCTCCTTCTTCTTTTCCTCCTCCCCCTGTCCTTGCCGTCTTCTTCTCTTCCTCCTACTCGCTTTATTTTCTCTTTAAGACTCTCTTTTTGTCTCTCCCTTGTTCCGCCTCTGTCGACGTCTTTTTCTCACTATCTCTTCTATCTCTAATTGATCCATATATGTAATATAACAGTATAACACAATTTAAGAAATTTGTATCAAGTACAACATAAAAAGAAAGGTTAACAGAGTTATAGCCTACTCTATTAATCCTCACACTAGATCACAGCATAAATAGTTTAGTATTTCATTCCGAGGAAGTCAAGCTTTAAGATGTTGTGACTTCATGCAAACACAAACGCACACACTCACAGTTGGAAAAGACAAAAGTGGAGACAAAGTAGAGCAGCTGTTGCATAATTTATGCGAGATGCTAACCTACTCGACAGTCACTCGATAGTCCTCCAGCTCCCAGATTTGGCGGCGAATTATGCAGCACCCAAAAGTATACAGCAGCTGTTCGGAGCTATGCTGCCTGGACGGACAGGCAGACGGATGAGTAGACTGGCGCAGGAGTCGCAGCGCTAAGCGAATCTCATGTGATGGCAGAATGAAACCTTTGCTGTGCATAATTTAGTGCTTGGCTTAACTCGGAATGTGTTGCAGCAACAATAACAGCAACAGCAACAGCCACAGCAAACAAGGACAACAAAGATTGAGTAATTCAGTGGGTGTGTGGGATAAAGTAGTTTAAGAGCTGACACTTCAGACACCCGGAAATAATAATAAAGAAAACAAACGCAACGAGAATGCAGATGAGGACGAAGACTTGGGCATGCAAATGAAAATGTAGATGACAGGTCGGTGCGAAGAGATTAAAATGCAATCGAGCAGACAACAAACCGGAAGTGTTTATAGCACAAATCCTCTGGGAATGTAAATACAATTTGAGTTTCTTTTAGGTGTTGAAAAGCAAAAAGAAGAAGATATTCCGACAAGTGTGCCGATTCTATTTTAGCATGTGCTAAGGGAAAAGGCTCCACAAAGTTGTTATCCACTTGATATATATAAATATACTTCAAATGTGTACAAAAATATGAAATGTATAAAAATTATGTATGCTATATTGACTCAAAGCTAAACTGAAGTTCTAAGTAGAATAAATTTCTATATTGTATATTTTAATTTATAATTTGGAAACAATAATTATAGAAAAAAAACTTTTATACAGATGTTGCCTTAGATATGAATGGTACAAAGTTAGTTATATACATAGATAGATGGAAATATGAATAGTTTAAATCTTGGTTCTGAATTGCATCGTTGTGAATAAACAAAAGTTCTAGTTAGGACGTATTAAAAACTGTTAAGAAATGGAGGCTCTACATCTCATCTCTACACTTGCAATTTCTACATCAACTTTTTTTTCGATTTACAATTTCTATAAATTAAATTTTATTGAACTGAATTAAAAAAACTGTAATAATCTCGTAGCACAAAACTGTTATATTGTATTAGAATGCAAAGCTTAATTGCTTAACTACTTACATTTTCTGAATAAAAACACATTGGGTAATTTGAAGAAAAATTGAAAATCTGAGAAAAAAAAAGCAAAAAACAAAAAATCAAAAGCAACGAGCAGCTGTTATACCCATCACTCTATCTCTATGTTCGTTGTTAAGAGTTGAGAATCACTGCAGATTAGTTGGAGTGCCATCTAATCTATTTAAAACTAGAGCAAATGGCAGGAAATTCGAGTGCCGGGCGGGAGAAGGGGAGAGAGAGGGAGCAAAGGAAAATCATGAAAAGGTCACTCGAGAGGAAAATGGCTGCTAAGTACATTGCTTGACAAATTTAAACTTGCAAAGTAATTAAGTTAAAGTTTACTATGAATGGAAAGCCGAAACAGAGTATTCATTTATGAAATTACAAATATTTCGGAAATGCTAAAGTTTAGCTAAGGTAGGGGCTGGCCATTCGCCCACACGTCCATTCGCTGGAGACCTTTGCCCTTTGCGTCGCTCCCACATTGATTAATTATAAAGAATCACAGCTGCTGCAATTGTAAATGCAAATATTTTGTTGGAGCTGGCAGCTAGAAATACGACTATAAATAGGAAAATCCTGCTGCTCCCTCGCTGACCATTGGCTCAACATTCGAATAACCCAGGAGTCCGGTGATGGGTGTGGGGCGGGAGGCGTACAGCAAACGAAGGAGCTGTGCACAGCTGCAGTTGAAAAGTTCAGGCAGCTGCACTTCAGGCCAAAACGTTTCGGCTGGCTCTTTCCCTCTCTGTGTGCTAAGCCGGCTTTCTGTAGCTGAAGAGGCTACCTGGACTTGCTAACTGATTTGGTAACAGAGTGCCGGATATAAAATTTACACTAACAGATACTATATAAATTGAGTAGGATGTAAAATACTTGTATAGATTAGTGATGAGAGATCGAGGGCTGATTAGCTCCATAGAACGATCAATAGCTAAATTCAATTCAGTAGTATTTGATCTTAACCATAATATAATAATAAACTATATACTTATATTATTGACTGATGTTAAGTTGATTATTAAGTCAAGGCTATAGAAAGTGCTGTTAAACTTGAAACACCTTAATAGTTATTGGTCAAGTTAGACTTAAGAGAAAACTTAAACAAAAAGTTAAAGTTATAGATCAAGTTAAACTGTAATATAAGAAACTCATATGTATTATAGATTATTTTTATATCAATTCAGAAAGTTTGCGTTTCCATTGCTAGGACGTCTGTTGGCTCATCTGCAATTTGTATCTATTCCAGGAAATCCGTTATGATTCAGCAGACAAAGTCGTTATAGAAAGAGCAGCCAAGCTTAGGCAAATTATTTTTAGAGTATTTCTAAGGCTATTTAAATTTATATTCATGGAAAATCCTGGAAAAGCTTTTACACATTTCAAATGAAACATTAATATTCATTAATATTATTAATAAATAAATTACTATCCATATCATGCGTTTTTTATTTACACAATTCCCTTTCCTAAATGAAGCCTTTAGTATTTAGAGTATTTCATATTCGGCTAGCATTTTTTTGTAATCTAGCTTTTTTTTTGCGAGTTTCTGTGTGCAAATTTAATTAATTTTTTTTGTTTGTGTGTAGTCTTCCTGCAGTAGCACAATGTGTGTATGGGACTGTGTGTGTGCTGCTGTGTTCGTGTGTGTGTGTGTGGGCGTGACCTACTTGCATTTGCAGCACAGGGACGTGCTGACGTTTCCCTTGGCTATGCAAAAAATGAATTTCAAAGCAAATATGACAGCGAGTGGAGAATTATGTTCGTCGTGCGGTTGTGTGTGTGTGTCTGTGTATGTGGGGGTATGTGACACGCCCACTTGTTGTGCCTTACTAATACTTGATGCAATAGAGTTTGTTTTTCTTTCAACTGCTTGCAGCGCATAAAAAATGTAATTGAAGCTACAACAACACAGCTGACACACACACACACACACTCATACACTTTTTTTATGTGTGTGTTGAAGGTCGTTCGCTGGCACGCCCCCTGCTAGCGACGCCTCTGACCACGCACATGCAACATTTGCTTGTTTCCTTTTGCTTTTCTTTAATTTTTGCTTTTGTGCTTGGCAACCAGCTAACTACAACAACAACAACAACAGCAACAGCAACAATAAGAGCAAGAACAACAACAAAAAGTCTTAGCTATTTTCCACCATTTCCCCTGTGCTTGGCAACCGAACTAGCCCCCACGCCTCCGCGCCCCCCACCCGTCCAGGCTAAACAACAAAATGCGCGTCGATAAATTAGTTGTACGCCATGTTCGAGTCCATTGTTTGTTGTCCCCCGTGCTCGAGTCTGTTGCATACGTAGAGAGTAATTGTCTCTTCATTTCGATATACATATCTCTAGCCATCTCTGTATATACATATGTATATAGAATGTGCATGTGTGGGTATATGGACTAAAACGCTCTTTGGTATTTTTTAGTGCGCAGCTGCCGCACCGGCAAACAGGTGCAGATGACGGAGGCGGAGGTGCGCGGCTTGTGCTTGAAGTCGCGCGAGATATTCCTGCAGCAGCCCATACTGCTGGAGCTGGAGGCGCCACTGATCATCTGCGGCGACATACACGGCCAGTACACAGACCTGTTGCGGCTGTTCGAGTACGGCGGCTTTCCACCGACGGCCAACTATCTGTTCCTCGGCGACTATGTGGACCGGGGCAAGCAGTCACTGGAGACGATCTGTTTGCTCCTGGCCTACAAGATCAAATATCCCGAGAATTTCTTCTTGTTGCGCGGCAATCACGAGTGCGCCAGTATTAATAGAATTTATGGTAAGTGTGCGTTGCTGCTTGAGATGTGGATTACGTGTACCATGGCATCCACATTGAGCGTATATTAAGTTTGCTTGTGGATTGTAAGAGTATAATGGGGGGTAAAAGTGGGCGGTAACTGCAGATCAAAGATAAATTCATTTGACAGAGCAATAGTCATATGTGCATTGTAATATGATTGTGGGACATATGTGGATTCTAAGTCTAAGTCAATGTTTATTTGATAGAGGATTGTAATTGTTCTATGTGGATTGTATGATTGAAGGACACCTGTGGATTGTAGGTGTGGATATTCTTTTGATCAAAGACATATTCATTTGATAGAGGAACAGACATATTTTTGGCTAGATTGTAATACGATTGTAGGACACATGTGGATTGCAGGGGGGGACAACTTTTTCATCGCAGAAAAACTCATTTGATAGAGGATCATACATATGTTTTATACATATGTAGACTGTAATATGATTATGGGGAAAATGTGGATTGTGAGTGAGAAAACTGTTCTATCAAAGACAAATTTATTTGATAGAACTACAATTAGAATGTATGGTATGTGGATAGCAATACAATTGTGGAGCACATGTGTGCTGTAAGTGGAACCTATATGAGCTTTATTTGATAGTGGAGCGTATATAATTATATGTATTATATGTAAATGTAGTAAATTCTGAATCCATAGATTTTGGATTGTAACTAGATTGTGGAGAAGAAACAACATAGGTCAACATAGGTCTCTAACGAATAGGAGGCTAGTGTGAAATAAATTGATTGCATATTATTTAGATATCGTATATGTGCTTTAGTATATCGTATATGTATTGTGAATGTCGCATAGACTATACGTGAAACTCTGATCATTTGCATGCATTAATTTCTTTGTGCTAGGAAATTGTTAAGCAATGCTCTTGTAATCCATGATAGGCCTTCTGTGTATGCTATTTATAATACTTGATTCTCTCGCCAGGCTTTTACGACGAGTGCAAGCGTCGCTATAATGTCAAACTATGGAAGACCTTCACAGACTGCTTCAACTGTCTGCCGGTGGCCGCGATCATCGACGAGAAGATCTTTTGCTGCCACGGCGGCCTCAGTCCCGACCTGCAGGGCATGGAGCAGATTCGTCGCCTGATGCGACCCACAGATGTGCCCGACACTGGGCTGCTGTGCGATCTGCTCTGGAGCGATCCCGACAAGGATGTCCAGGGCTGGGGCGAGAATGATCGTGGTGTTAGCTTCACCTTCGGCGTTGATGTGGTATCCAAATTCTTGAATCGACACGAGCTGGACTTGATTTGTCGTGCGCATCAGGTGAGACAGCCCACTCCAATGCATTAGTACTAAAAAATTAATGCTAAATCTCCATGAATGCTTTGTTTTTAGGTCGTTGAGGATGGCTACGAGTTCTTTGCGCGACGTCAGCTGGTCACACTGTTCTCGGCGCCCAACTACTGCGGCGAATTCGACAATGCTGGCGGCATGATGACCGTGGACGATACGCTCATGTGCTCATTCCAGGTAAGATCCATCCAAAACTTGAGTGTGCTTAGCGTGTGTGCTTCATGTCCATTTCCATTGCAGATATTGAAGCCATCCGAGAAGAAGGCCAAGTACTTGTACAGCGGCATGAACTCGTCCCGGCCAACAACACCGCAGCGCAGCGCCCCAATGTTGGCGACCAACAAGAAGAAATAATATATCCATCCGCTTCCATTTCCTTAAAACCTCAACAAACAGCAGCAGCAAAAACAATTAACAACAAATAAACGAATAACTTTTATATAGTATATATACGTACATAAATATGTCAAAATTTAATGTGTGCAAACTAGTTGAAAGATTAAACAAAAAAAAAACAAAAACAAAAAAACCAAAAACAAAAACAAAAAAAAAATACACACAAATCCAAGTACAGAAAGAGAAAGTAATACAAAAACTAAATACAAATGAAATCGCAGCGAACAAAAAGAGTTGCAGATAAACAACGCAAAACGTGTTAACGGTTTAATACAAAAAATAAAAATAATAAAAAATAAATATTAAAAAAAAATATATATATATATAAATATATATAGTTATATGTATACATATGAGTATACTGTATATGTAACTGATAACGTTATCATTAACTGTATACAACTTCTATATTATTTATTTACATTACATGTACATACATGTTGCTATATGCATATTGATTACACTACACAACAAAACAAAACACTGAACGACAATGAACAGATAAACACTTAAGTTCTTGCATTTGTTTATAAAGTAAAGCTCTTGTCTCTGTCCTCTCAATTGGCTTGTGGCTAACACATTGTTGATATTGGTCAAGATCACGTCCAAATTCAACCAATTCAAACCTAGCCCCGCCTCGCCCCGCCCCGCCTCATTCCGGCATCATTTCAACACACGATTTAGAGCAACAAGAGTACAGCGATTTAAGCAATGAATTTATATAGACATATTAATGTAAACTATATACGATACCTACTTATATGTACCGCAACCAAAATACATAACAAATGCAAACAATTCTATTAACTAGTTTTTCCCATACAAATAAAGAAAGGGGAAAGCTAAAAAAAAAAAAAAAAAAAAAACACTTTAGAGCAGCAAATAAATGTAGTTCTATTATATTTAATTTTCAACTTATGTGTGCGCCGTCTATAGCTAAAAAATAAATTGTTTATAAACTAAGTGCGCATTACGATTTGTCTAACAAATAAAAAAAAAAAATATATATATATATATATATATATATATATATATATATATATATATATATATATAAAATAAAAATTTACAACTTAAACGTAAGGCAGTTAAACTATGTGTATTTTTTTTTTATATTTATTATTATTTACCTTCTTTCAAATGTATTTTATTTACTTTTTTTTTTTTCGTTTAACTAATTTATTGCAATTTTTAATTGTATTTTAAAGAGAAAAACAAACTAAAGTTAAAATGTAAAATGCGAAAAGCAGAAGTAAAATTTTTTTTTAGAAAGTGGCGAGTTATAAATAATTGAATATATAAATATATATGTATATGTATATATATATACATTTATATATATACATATGTATGTGTACTAAAAATAGTTTTAAACAGCTGTTAATGAATGGAAAGAAAACCATATTAAATAAATCTAAATACAAATACAATTCGATTAGTTTATATATATATATATATAATGAAGACGAAAACGAAGAAGGACATTTGTTTATTAATAATAACGAATTATAAACTTTTAACATCAAGCATGCCTAACATTTTTAACTTGCCTCAAAACATTACATTGCGAAAAATGAAAAAAAAAAAAAAACAACAAAATGAGAAATGATAATAACATATTTTAACGAATTTTTAAGCATTACTTCAAGTACTTGAAACACCAACATATAATTTTTGTTCATATATATGTATACATATAGATAAATCATATATATATGTATATATATATGTAAAACTTGATTTTATTCATCAACTTTTTCATTCAACTTTATTAGATTGTAGTGCCTTTTTTGCCTCCCAAAATGAAACGAAATGAAATCCTGAAATTCAAGCAAGAAAACTATAAAGTTTATTTATACATGCATATATACATATACATACATATATAAATATATATATATATTAAAATATAGTGTACATTGGATATGTAACTAGAGATGGATGACGAAACAAGTAGGGAAAGTAACTTTTATCAGCAGCTGGCTCAGCGTGCATGTCATACGGCTTGACGTGGCCTGCATAACGTGGCATTGAAGTCAATTAATTGCATCACAAACTGTGTTTCACACATGCAACATGCAACGTGCAACGTGCAACATGCAACATGCAACAACACAGCAACGCTTCTGACTCACTACTCGAATTTGTTGCAACATTTCTTTTGATTGCTTAGCAAAATAATTTTCAATTAATCTTTAAACTCTTTAGCTTCGTGTGCCTCTGTTTGTGCAGGCATATCTACACACACACAGACGAACTCACACTCACATACACATACATACATAATGGGTAATGAGAAAAAAAAAACTATTGTGGTTGAAAAATGCAACACAACTGCTAATACAACAAAACGAACGAAGAAAATAAAGAAGAAAAAAAAAGAAAAAGAAATTTAAATAAATTAATATATTTATTATTGAAAATCAAATAAAAATTATTAAAAATTTATGTAAACAAATTGCACGTTTTTTTAATTCATATACGAACGTTCATCCAATTTGCCCATTTTGTATCTCTACTAATTGAATGAATCTCTGTCTCGCTGACTCTGCTTCTCCCCTGCACGAACGATATGTACTCGGCATTCGCAATCATACTCACACATTTACATACATATACGTATGTATTTGTATGTACTGAGCTCGCTTGCTAACGAAGCCACAAAAACAAAAAAAAAAAAAACATAGCTTAAGCCGTCCTTTAGAGCTTCGTGTCTATTCGGCAAACGCGCACGATCATTCATCGTGGAATCCAAAAACAACGATGTCGGCAAGGCAGCAACAACACCAAACGATGCGAGCAGCAGAGGAATCAAATGCAGTCTGCCGTCCCTCTTCTGCACATATACTGCACTCTTCTACATAGTACCATTGCACTGCATATTGTTATTGTTGCTCAGCACTCCAGCGTCTCTGATTCGCCAAATGCGCGCTGTCGATGAGCCAATCAGAGGACTCGCTCGCAATAACTTCATAAATCTGTAGGTTTGGCTCAGCATCTACCAATGATGCTTACATAATGAATTTACATGAGCTTTTCTCTCGGCAAATAAGGAAGGTCCGAAATTAACAAATACCTGATGCACACATATGAGTGATTAAATACATAAAAGGTAATTGGTGGTAAGTTAGGAATAAAGCTTAAGTGCGTGTTCGATATCCTATGCGGAGCGCTTTGCAAGCTTTGAGAAGCTATTGGTCGGACTCGCACAATGTGTGCTTTAAAGCTTTATTTACTCCGAAAAAGTTACGGAAACGATAGCATGAAAAGCTCGATGCTCTGTTAACTTTAACAGCAATGTTAAATAACTGTGGGTGTTTCGTTAGCTTGTTGCTCGCATAGCCCTCAGCTGTAAGTTCCTGTGGCTGTGTTTGTGTGTGTGTGTGTGTGGTGAGCTCTGCTATTAGAGCCACGAATAGTAGGTGGTCGCCACTAAGTTAGTTTGGCTAATGGTCTAAGCTGATGTCTGGTAAACATTTGGAGGGTCCTGCTGGGCCTGCTGGCCGTCGCAGCAGCCAAAAGTTATGGAGCCCATTTTTGTGAAACGAAAACAAGCAATATTGGGTGTGCATGTTTTGTTTTTTTGCTGTATGTTTAACATTTATTTCAGAGTGTTTCTGATGCTCTTGATGATGTGCATCATGCGACCATGAACCTGGAGGTCCTTCCAATCATTAATCACGCCAACAGAGCGCTGCAGATTAAACAAAAACTCCTAAAAAAACAAAAACAAACCCAACAAAAATGTGTAAAATATATAATAATTGCGGCCGCAAGTTCCAATTCCCGCCCTCCAAAATTGAATCAATGACACTCAGATGAGGCTTATAGAATAAACATTTATTAAATACACATAAATTTCAGTATATATGTAGATATATGTAAGCTTGTATATAGATATAGAGAGCTGCCGTCCGATAAATGCCCTGTGATGTCAGCGGCAGATTGAATGTGAATCTGTGAATCGGGCGACAGCTTTACATAAATATATATCCACGTGGATCGTATAGGATAGTTCATAGTTTTAGTTTTTCGCTACCGTTTCAGTAGCTCCTCAGTGTGTGTGAGTGTGTGAGTGTGGTCATAGAAATGCATCACATTGAAATTGTAATTGTTGGAAATACTTTCTGGTTTCGCATATGTTTGTTTAGAGTTTACGTTTAATTGGATCATAGATCATAGACATATATATGTAAATATGTTGATATTGATGTATGTTATATGTGTGTGTGTGTGTAGGCTGCTTAGCAGTTGCTTGCAGTTACATATGCATATGTATGTGTGTGATTAATGTGAGGGAATGCTAGAGCATCGGCTCAAGTTTGCTTTCGAATATGGTTTATATACGGGTTATGTATGCGTGTCTTTCGGTTAGTTACTTGGTTAGTTTATTTGGCTAATTGTCTATTTGACCATAAATTCTTGATTTAACTTTAGACATTTACACATTGAGATATTTTTTTGGTATGGAACTGCGCCTATAGCTAACATTTAAAATCGTATTATTTCTTTAAATCCATTTCTATGGCTGTAACTGTTTGTGTCTGTATGTGTGGGTGTGTGTTTTTTGTGTTTGTGAGAGTTTCAGTTTGTATGGGCGCATGGGTGCATATATGTGTGTGTGTGTGTGTGTGTGTGTGAGTGTGTATCCTGTTGCTTGCGATTTTTTGACTTGATTCGCTAGAATCTAGACAGAACATATCCACAGTTCTGTTGACGTTCAAAATGTATTGACATATATATGTATATATATATATCTGTATATGTATATGTATATGTATATGTATATGTTGTGTATTGGGCGGATCTAGGCTTTAGGCATTTACGTTTGCTAAACACATAGATATATCGAGAGTATTTGTCAAGCTCCATTTGGCTACTACATACATACATATATAATCGAATACTGGTAAATAGACATTCATACATGTATAGCTTTTGTAGATTTTTCTTTTAAATTATGTTTATTTGTTATTTATTTATTTATTTCATTTATTTCATTTATTATTTTTGTGTGTTTTCGGCCGGAAACACTATGGGTATACCCATTAGTATTTATAATTAACTTGATTGTTGGTTAGCAATACAAACTCAGCACTTGGCCACGTTTTCAACTGCATTTGGCGATTTGGTTTTCACACCCTCTGAGCCCATTGAGAATGGGAAATTAGGGTTTAAATGGTTTTCTTGAAATGTATGCATGTAACAGACAGAAGGAGGCGTGGCATATACCATAAAGTATATATATGTATTCTTGATAAGCGCGACAAGTTGAATCGATCTAGGCCAGTCCGTCTGTCTGTTTGTCCGAGCGTTCGTGAATTTTGTGTAGGTCCCTGTATAGCACGCGCAAATCGATTCATTGCATCGATAACTATGCCTGTTTCACTGTTATCGATTGAAAGCCTTGTCTAAAATCAGTTTTTAAAATTATATCTCGTTTATCTATAGAGCTAGAGTCTCCAAATGCTGCATTTAGATTCAAGTGCAATTTAACCATTTTTTTTTTTATATTTAAATTTTTTTTTTTTTTTTTTTTTGGCTTTGGGTCTTAAATCCAGCCCCTTCCCTACAAATTTGCAACAGTATTTCAAGTATTAGAGACTTGTGGATTGACAAATATACACATATGAATGTCATTATCACATTCTGAAAGTCTGATTACGATAGTCCATCTAGTAGGAAAGTTATTCAACAAATAGTTTCCTATTAGATAGTCCAAATCGCAGCCCAAGCGCAGGCGCTGCGTCAACTGCGCCGTTAGCAGAGCGTGTGCTAATGAGTGCATGCGTATGTGTGCGTAGAATATTTGGAATATCAGCTCTTCGCAGGGGCTCAAGGGATCTCGTAGTCGAACAGTCTCGACTAGACTTAATGGTTTGCTTTGGTTTATGCTTATGTTGTGTTTTCTATTATTATTTTCCATTTCAGAAGTGGGACAAACTCTACAACTATATCCTCGAGGGAATACGAATGTCGACAGAACTGTATTGTGTGGCTCAGCCTGGCTCACACCGTTGTTCCTCTAAATTCGTTCTCTGTGCGTATCTTTACGGCTATTTCAATGTAATCTTTGTCTAAGTGTAAGAGTGTAATGGGGCAGGGGGAGGGGAATAAATGGAGTGTAATCTTTGGTATATAGAGTGTATATATGTATGTAGTATATATGGTGTATATATGTGTATACCTATGCATGTAATATGACAGAAGAACTCACAGATATGTATGCTCGCAGAGGCATGTTTTCTTTTGTATATCTTATTTTCTTTACTTGTTTTCGTTTTTGTTTTCATTTTCATTTTCTTTGTTTTTGTTTTTTGCTTTTTCTTTTGTTTTTGTTTTTGTTTTTCTTGATTCAAAATACATTTCAGGTGAAACCGTAACATTTATATATTTATTTTTTTTTTTTGTGTTTTCTTTTTGTTCGCATTTGTTTTCGTATAGATTGAGTATTACAATATGGTATTACACGGTATTCCCATTTGGAATAGTGTTAGTTTTCAATTACAACACACAAACATTGACATAGGATAAGTAGATATATAGTATATCAATGATATTGAGAAGTGGGTACCCATTCATTCATTCAGATGTTTTCTTTTATATTTTATTTTTTAGTTTTTGCTTTTAGTTAGTTGTTCATTTTGAAAATAGTACATTTATAATTATATTTTTCATTTGAATCATTCCATTTGCATTTGTTTTGTTTTTGCTTGAATATTCCATTGTGTATGTGTATGTAAATATATGTATATATATATGAACATATATGTATGTGTTTTTAGTTGGGAGTATTTTAGACAGCTTTGCATATTTGTTTAATATCAACTCACACTTACTAATGTATATATTGTATATATTGAATTCCATTCATTTTAAATATATATTTTTAATTTTTATTATTATTGTTATTATTTTTTTTTTTTTTTTTTTTTTTTCAATTTTAGTTCGCCTCCAATTTGGAATGCTTTTTGTTTGCCATTGGCTCTCAATCATTTGGATTGAGTAAATTGGTATCGATACCTAGCTATATTCGTGCCTTGTGGCGCCAATCATGATTGACCCTGCCCCTCACGCATCCACCCCTCAAAATGACCGCCCACACCCAGTGGATTCCCCTCAAGATCTACCCTCAACTGCTGCAGCAGCTACGCTGACAATTTTCTTGTCGAAAAATCTACTAAAACTAAATTTCTACTCGTTGGCTGCTTTCAAGAAACGCCAACAGTCCCAGCCCCCAATCCCAGCCCCCAGCACCAACCACACCCCACCACCAACCACACCCCACCAGCAATCCCACCATCCCCATCACATCTAAAATCCACGCCCACCAGGGGACCCTCTATGCTAATCGTGAAATCGTTTTTCATTTGAAACCGAAACTGAATCGCTTACGCTTTTGCATCAAATATACACTTTTACCTTCTTCTTCTTCTTCTTCTTCTTTTACTTCATCATCTTCGTCTTCATTAACACCTTCTTCGTCGTCTTCTTCTTCAGTGCGCTCTTCATCTTCGCTCCGTTCGCTCCTCCAATTTCGATTGACCTTTTCTCGACTTTGTCCGGCCCACGTTTGCCTCTCTTCCTCCTCAGTCTGCTCCTCAGTCTCCTTCTACGGCTTCTTTCGTTTGGCAAACATCTGAGACCACAATCAGAATCAAACATTTGTTGTTTTTGGCACGGCGCCCGTCTCGGTGGCTGGCTGCGGGCGCTCCTCCTCGCGCAGTTGCTCCAAATGGACCTGGACGACATGCTGCTCGACCTGTTGCTGTTCGACCTCCTGCTCCTCCTCGGTCTCGTCGATGTCTCGGGCCAATGTCTCGCTGCGCTGCAGTCGCCGCTTCTGGCTGCTGGAGCTGGGCTTCGGCGGCCCAGTTGGCACGGGCACACATATGTTGAACTCCTCGTCCGCCGCCTCGATGACGTCCAGCTGGGTGATATCGTCGACGCCGGCACTGGCGGCCGCTGCGGCGGCGGCTGCAGCACTCGTGGATGGACCATCGACCAATGAGGGCGAGGTGTTCGAGGATTTATTCATGGTAGAGGAACGCTTGGCGCTCTTGCGCCCGGCTGGCACATCCTGTAGCGTGAGCCGCTCCATGCGCAGCTCGGCCACCGTGGCCGAGGTGTGGCCCGGGCGCAGCGACTCATCCACATGGACGAGCACAAAGGGCAGCTTCAGCGACAGCTCCCCGCCCATGCCGCTCAGTGTTAGCTTCACCTTCACATAGTACGACACGTAAATGGCAAACACATTGCGATCGTCGCCCAAGCCACTCCCAGCGCCGCCAGCACTGGCTGTGCCCGCCGAGCTCGGTGGCTGGGGCATGGCCATGGCCGGGCTGGCCAGCGGATGCCCGGTCAGCAGCTGAGCGGCCTGCATGACGAAGTTGGGCGAGCGTATGGCCGAGGCGGCAATGGCGCCAGTTATCTCATCCGGCTCGGTGCTGCGCTGCAGCGTATCCTCCAGTGCGATCCAGTTCTTGGTGGGGCCGCGCTGAGGTCGCAGCGCTACGGTGGTGTTCAGTGTGCCACCCGGCGGTACGGTGCGGTCCACGGCGGGCGAAATATTCTCCGAGTCGGCGACGACGTTCTTAAACTTTCCATTGTTGAACATACAGACGTCCACGTGCTGAATGGCGCAGACCTGCCAAAGACAGAGAGACAAAGAGAGAGAGAGAGAGAGAGAGAGAGAGAGAGAGACAGTGAGTGAGAGAGCGCATTGAGTAACGTTAACAGGGTCATCGGGCCAGACGTGGCAACAAGGCCAGTGGGCTGCCAATCAAATTGGCTGCGTCAATGCGACGCAAGTGTTATATCAATATCAAGGGCATACAAAAGTCGAGGGTCAGCGAGCAGACGTAAATGGCGAACACCGAAACTCAAACACTCTACAGCAGAGAACAGGCAGGTAAGCAACGGAGAGGTGGCAAATAATATTTATGAATCGTTAATGAATTCCATGATTTATTTATGCTAGGCAATTATTGAAGATAAATAAAATTAATTGAAGATAAATAATCGTTTAATCAAATTTAAAGAAATCAAACAATTTTCTTAGTTTTTTTCTTTAGTATGTTAAGATATTATATTATATTATATTGCTCCAAAAAATGTATGTTATTATATATTTATTAAGCCTAGAATTCAGAAACAATAACTTCAAAAGATGTGTGGTAGTCAATCTGTTGCTCTTTTCCGGAACAGTCGCATCCGCTTTAGAGAAAAAACTGCTGATACTAAAAATATTCTGTGAAAATGTTCTAGAGAGCGATACGATATGGTTTCCATTAATTGCAACATTGCGATTATTAAACTCCAGCCAAGCCAAATCAGAACGATGAGGTACTTACAATGATCAACTATAGGTAGAGTCATCTCAAGTCACTTGGCTAATGGCCAGAAGTTAAAGGCGAATATCAGTGGCAAGCTTTAAGCTTGGGCTTGGGCTTTGTTGAGCGTATAGAGGACATCTTCATTGCTAGTCCCACAGTTAAGTCAAATGAGAATATTGAGCTTATAGGAGACTTCTTCACTATGCATATGTGTGAGTTTGTATGTATTATATTTTATATTATTCTAACAACCGTCTTTATAGCTATTTTCATTCCAACTCCCTGATTTCTATGACTCCAACATCTTCTATAGATGAAGTTAGGCTAAGTGTGATCTATGAATCCGAATCCTTACGCTTCACAGTCGACCTGGTTGCATATTGAACTCATTCGCATATCGATCAATTATAGGCAAGGTCCTCTCAAGTAGGGGCTAACGGTCAATTGAATTGAGGCCGCAAAGCTAATGGAAAAGTCAAGCGAATTGCTTGGCCAAGGCAGAGCATATTGTTTCCGTGACACATATCCGTTGAGTGTGTGTGTGTGTGTGTATATGTATATGTTTGTGTGTGAGAGTATTGGTTGAAATGATGGTAGCATTATTTGATTGCGTTGCCGCGCTTACTTCAACCTTATCTATGGGCAAGGCAATCAAAAGTAATGCACTCAATTACGTTCATAAATGCGGACACCGTCCGTCCAGGCCTGTGTCCTACGGCTAGGAGGCGTGGCGGCATTGTAGCCTTTGGTCTGCCCCTGCAATTGATTTGCCATTTTTGTGTTGCATTTTGTTTGGATTTTGGTTGTAATGAGGCCCATTTGTTGGGCCAACCTGATCGACCGGAATGTCCACATGTGAATGCGCCACACACACACACACACACACACGTAAAATTCCATGCGGGGCGGGTGCGGGGGCAACGCAGAAAGTTATCCGCAAACAGGTCCCTGAACGAACATCGAACAGTTACGCCAAACTTTGTGTAATGAATGTGTGTGTGTGTGTGTGTGTGTGTGTGTGCGTGTCTGTGTGTGTGTGCATTGAACCTCGCTTGCCCGATAATTGTTTTCATTAATTTAATATTCTGTTTTTTTGCCAACGTCGCATCGTTGCACTCGTTGCTCGGCAATTTTTCGCCTAGTTGAGCTCGCCTTTCGTTAATCGAATTTAAAGGATAGCATCCACTTGCATCCTCGATTCGCCGGCGGGCAACTCAATTATCGAGCACACAAGTACGAGAGGGCAAACAGCAAAGGGCTCGCTGAACCGATACCCTAAAAGTCGACGGACGTCGAGCTGAGTGCAGGGTAGCTGCTAGTCGGGCATGCCCACACACACTGTTATGGTAATTAATCGATAACATGCTCTTTGATCTTTTGTGGCAGACCTTTTCAATTTCCACTTTAATGATTGCATTCTTATACCGTCAACCAATTGAAAATGGGAAATCAGGGTATAACGGTTTTCTTTGTTTTCATGCTTTGCATAAAATCGATAGCAATCTCGTTTACAGTGTTATCGATTAAAGAGCTACACATTTTACACTCACATTCATATTCTACAATATTTTTTTTTTTTTTGAAAACTAGAAATCGGTGAAAGAAAATTTATTCGATAAATAATAACAAAGCTCAAGCTCCAACCAGTCCAGTTGCAGTCGCTGCGTCAACTGCGCAGTTAGCAGAGCGCCTGGATGTGTATGTGTATGTGAAGTGTTGATTCATGGCATATTAGTTATTCAAAGGTTTCAGGGCATCTGGTAGTCGAGCATTCTCGACTATGACCTTTCTTACATGTTATATATATATATATGTATATATATGCATATATATGTTTTTTTTTTCTATTGTAAGGCCAATGCATTGGTCGTAGGTCGAGCTTCTTACGTATGATTGGTTTGCATTCCTATACAGATATTAATCTATACAAATATTTGTTTTTCAATTTCTGTATTGTTTTTATTTATCAAGCGCTGCATTTATTACAGCTTCGATGTTGTCCGATTAAGGACGTCAAGCTGCTTCAATTATGAACAGTTTTTTTTTTTCGTATATGCTCAATCAATCGAGTTGATCAATTGCTTGAGACTTTAACTGTAGAAAAACTGTTGAACATATAGAACTTCACATATAAATACACGATGAGATAGCAAACGATAATAAAACTGGAAAAATTGGAAAAATTTTAATTAAGTTTGCAGTTTATATATCATAAAGATATTATATAGTAATATGCAACAGATTGATAGCTGAAGTTGTTGTGTTAGCTGTATATACCTGTCGTAAACTCTGTGTGCAGGTTGTAAATGCTTTTGTTCATTGTTGTTGTTGAGGTGTTAACATCGAGCTGTCATTCGTGTCAGCTTCACGCGCTCGTCACCGTTAATTACAGCGATTATCGATAGGACGCCAGCTCTCTCACCTGTCCCTCTCTCTATCCCTCTGTCTGTCTCTGTCTTTTAAATGTTAGTCAATATATTTCAGATATGTTAAACTTTCATATTCATAAATTTAACTAACAGTGAATGCGAACCTATTTATTTATCGCCTTGCAATGGGAATGATAAGAAAGATGGAACACGTTTGTATATGGCCACCTCTTACTTGGCGGAATGATAAAAAGTATTTCATCTCGAGGGTAGCTAAGAAATTGGTTTTCTTTATTTTCTTTTCTTTTCTTTTTTTTTTTTTGCCCGCATTAACTTCATTTGGCATTCAATTGTGAACATTTGTTGTCGCTTGTGCGACTTCGCTCTCGCTCAATTGGCAGGCATACACAAACATTCTCACACACACACACACACACACACACACAGAAATACCCATATATATACACACGAGCACGCATGTAGAGGAATATGCATACGCAGTTTTGGGTCCGACTGTGAGCCCATTTCATATTCATGACTGCCCAATAGTTTTTTGATTAAGTTACGTATACGCGAATGTTTGATTGTATTTAATTGACTGACAGATTGAGTGATTAAATGATTGAATGACTAACAAACGAACTGACTCGTTGGCAGTCAAACAGACTGATTGCAATTGAATGACAAGCTGACCTACTGTCTTATATAGATATATATCAGTCTGTCTGTCAACTAGTTAATGCCTCAGTCAGTCCTTCAATCATTTAGTTACTTCATGTGTCAGTCAGTTGAAATACAACCAAGCATTTAGCTACACTAGCCATCAATCACATCTCAATAGTAAATCAATCAGTCAGTCAGTCCGTGATTAGTTTTTGAAATTCGTCAATCAATCAATCAATTACTTAATTAACTACAATGGAGGAGTGGGTAAGTCAATCAGACATTCCGCCATTTACTCAGTCAGTCAGAATGAAGTGATTAACTAGTAAATCAATCAATCAATAGGCAATCAGCCAGTCAGTCATTCTTTTATAAAACTTGTCAATTAATCAATCAGTTAATAAGTTGATCAGTCATTCACTCGTTTACTCAGTCAGTCAGTCAGCTACAATTGAAACAATTCATCAATAAATTAGTCAATCATTAGTCAATCAGCCAATCAATTATTCTTTTATAAAACTAATCAATCCATCAATCAGTTAATATCAGTCATTCACTCGCTTAGTAACTGTGTCAGTCAGTTACAATGCAAGCAATTCATCAGTGAAACAGTCAATCAGCCAGCCTGAACTTGTTTAGTCAACTATAATGTAGCCTCTGAATGGCTGTCTATTAGTTAGTCAATCACTTAGGCAGCCTTAGCCACTGAGTCAATCATTTGATTGACATTTAATCAGCTTAGCCAGTTAGTCCGTTAGCCAGCGAATCAGTCAATCAGTCAGTCTGGGATTTTATGCATCGACCTCCGCACATCACATCTTCCCGATAATCCAGAAACTTGTTGCTGAGTGTGGACCGTTCTTAAGGTCAACTGAGTTGCCAAAATTACTGCATATATAATTGAGTGTGACTGTGTGTGTGTGTGAGCCTGACATTGTGCGCGCGTGTGTGTGACTGTGACTATGTGAGCATGAGTGAGTGTGTGTGTGCGCTTTTTAACTTTTCACTTTTATTGTTGACTTGCGGGGAAACGAGTCGTATAAAATTGTATAAAACCAAGAATTGAGCTGAACGCCAGCAAAAGTGAAAGCGAAGGCTGTGACAATAAAAACTCGACAACAGAGTATATTGTGTATGTGCATGCGCTTGTGTGTGTGTGCTTGTGTGCATGGGCATTTAAATGTATATTTAATAGCCTGAAAGTACAGAGCAACAACATACAAAGTGTAGCATACTTTTTTGGGACTTGTGCATGAAATATTGAAGAGACGAGACCGCTG